TTACCATCTATACGAGCTCGTTACTAGACGTCGTCGAAAAATATCTTCCATCTGTCCACTGCTATACAGACGATACCCAACTTTACGTCTCTTTCCGCCCCGCAGATGAGACAGGTCACTTAGATGCCATTACTGCTATTGATTGTTGTATTAAGGCGATCAGGTGTTGGATGCGTGAGAATAAACTATTGTTAAACGTAGAAAAAACTGAGTTTCTTTTAATTGGCACGAAGCAGCAGCTCGCCAAAGTTGATATTGGACACATTATTAAAGTTGGCAAAGTAAATATAGCTCCGCACTCTCCTGTCAAAAACCTTGGAGTCTGGTTTGACTCAAACCTATCTATGGTTGATCATATCACCAAGACTTGCTCTGCAGCGTTTCACTATCTTTGTAACATTAGAAGAAATAGAAAATATTTAACAAAAGAATGCACGGAGACACTTATTCATGTCTTTATATCTAGCCGCTTGGTCTATTGTAATAGCCTCCTATTTGGAGTTCCTGAGTGCCATCTTCACAAATTACAGAGTCCAGAATGCAGCTGCACGCCTTATATTCCAGGAGAGCAGATTTTGTCATATCACACCTCTGCTCAAATCATTACACTGGCTGCCTGTAAAATATCGCATAGTTTTTAAAATTATCTTAATTACTTTTAAAGCAATACATGGTCTTGCCCCGGCCTACATAAGTGAGCTGATTTCTGTTAGAGACACCGGAAGATATGATTTCCGTTCCAATGACGGCTTACTCCTTGCTCCTTGCTCCTTGCTCCTTGCTCCTTGCTCCTTGCTCCTTGCTCCTTGCTCCTTGCAGGGGTAAAATACTCACCACGCTCGGCGATCGATCTTTCCATGCCGCCGCCCCTAAATTGTGGAACGATCTTCCGGGCTCTATCATTCTCAAGGTTTGTTTGAAGAAATCAATCAAATTGCAGGAAAATGAGAGACAAATTTTGCAGCTTTTTACAAACCAGCTAATTTTACTGGATCAATAAAATACCTATACAGCCAAAAAAAAAATTATTGTATTAAGCGACTGAATTTTGCGATTCAAAATGGATGTGATAATGTGGCAATTGAACTTCGTTTCGTGTAATGAATAACTAGAGGGATCCTTGCGTTTGTGCACAGATTTCTGGGATCGCCACGGGGCAAACTTTGCAACTCGACAATGTTAAAGAATAATCTGAGTAGCCAGAACTCCTTTTACTTCAGTAAGTGAAATAAATCAAACTCGCTGTGTCTCGTTCTTAGAATGACGTTTTCTCAGATTTCCTGAAATCCTGAGGTCACCTGCAATCTGATTGGTTCTTGATCCGGTCAGTATTTTCCTATCTCTGCCCACGGGCCACGGTAACGCTTTCGTGAGTCGCCGAGTACATCCCAACTTTCGTTACTATTTTTCATAAATATATCTCGTTTTTCAGGCTGGGCGGTATTTTTAAGCAAACACGTCGGCCACTACCTCAAGCCCATAAATAACTTATGAATCCTCTCTTTTCTCTCTATCAGATCACTTTGGTTGACTGAAAATATATTGGTTTCAGAATGAATTTGTGTAAGCAATAGCGTCGTTACGTTGGTTGACAAGCGGCCTATAAACCGTCTGCAATCAATTTTAATCGTTCACAAAAAATACCTAGAAAATAAAAACGTGAGGTATTTGGTTACAGTTAACTGAACGATGGAACTTTCATTCATTTAATATCTGAATTTTCTCAAACAATTTGTTCGTAGTGAAAGAGCGAGAGAAGTTTTAATTTCAGTTCTTCTAGTTCCGGTGAGTCTTTCCAAGTCCGTTCAATTTGGACATTTGTACCGTAAATTGCACAACAGAAACTGAAGGAATTTATTGAGAAAAGGCCGCGTTAAATCTCCTTGTGTCTCGTTGGAGTGTGCCATTCGAATTTAGTTTTTGTGGACGAAAGACCAGATTTACACACGCCATTGCAGCAAACAAACGAGCACACTCTCACAACTTCAAATTAAAAAAATTTGAATTTACTTACAATTACTTTCCTCGCCGTTTCCTTAATGAACAGAGGTAAATCTTCGAACATGAATGAATCGTCGATCAGAGTCAGATCATTGACTGTTTTTGAAGAAAACATTATCGTGACAGTCCTTGCCAAACTAGTTCCGTTGTTTTTCAAATCTTCTTGCGCGTTTCTTTTCTTACTTGAACTCGAATCGACAGGTGTCATATTGTGACAGATACTTGTAAAAATAATGTTTCAAAGTTTGTTAAGAAGCCTTTTAAATCACCTCTATCGTTGCGGAAATGAAAATGTTTCGGTGAGGCATCTCTCTTTAATTTGCATCACCTCTATTTTAACCAGTTACTCGCTCAAACATTGTTCAGTTTATGGAAGATCTTGCCGTATTTACAGCCCTAAATCATTCGGGTTCTTTCGGAAAGAATCTCGTCAAGTTTAAAAAAAATGAATATATTATTTACCGGCTAAAGGTCGGTCCGTATGGTGAAAATTGTTTTTCACCATACGGACCTCCCGGCCGGCAAATAACATATATTTACTTGATGGGGCGGGGCTATCTAGAGATACGACTAGGCCTATCTTGATTGTACGCGTAAAATTCTGAAAAGTTGCTCGTTAAAATACCAAATTGTTGTTGCTGAAAAATTGCAAATTCATACAAAAAGTTGCTACCTAAATACCTACAGGCTGCTGACTTCGTTCAATGTCGTTTCTAAGATATGTCCGTTTAGACTACCATTTAATGCGCTGAATGATATTGACTAATGCCAATGACATTGCTCTTACTTGTTAAGCAATGAAAATCGGAACAACAGTTTAATTTTACAAACGTTCGCCAGTTGGAGACGTTTCAACAGTTAAACTGATGGATTCGCTCTATTTCACAAACATTACCGAACATTGTGAGTCGATCAGTCTTCATTTATTTACCGTGAACTCTTAGAAAATTAGTTCAGCGACAAACGAAAAATGCATAAAAATAATCAATTGTTCTGATTCCTTCAGCTTTTGTTTACGACACCCTATCACTGAGATTCAAACCCTATCCACGATAAAAACTCGTTCTAAAATCAAAATATCCTCTGGCAGACACCTCTTTTCCTGAAAATGTTTCTGTGAAAGCCTCATGGAACATGAAGGTTAATGACAATAATTTTCTATCTTTGTGTTCCAGTTTATGATTTCTTGAACCAGCCATACTGAAAGTAAGACGCCCTTAGGAGCACAAACTAGGCTCTTCCCAAAATAGCGTCCAGCGAGATCAGCCCATAACTCTGAGGTGCTCGCGTAGAAGGCACATCTTTACCCTGAAGTTTAGACCCAACAAGGTACTCTTTTCCCATTTTCTCTTGGGCCCATAGAAGAATTTTGTCTATGGTGGGCGTCCCCACTTGTACGATTTCCGCTATACCCCGGATGACCACCAGTCCATACGGCACATCCTCTGTCAGATAACGATGAGAGAAGTCCGGTACGAAGGACTTATTGATATTTTCTTTCATCGGATGCTTCAGACCCTGGTACGCGGCGTTTGTGCAAAAACAAGATCGCAGGCTTGAAGTATCGGAAATTTCGTGAGTATAGAACTTGACAAGAAGATCATAGATGCTCGTTACCTGAAGCGGAGAAAGAAACAAACTTATCAAAAGGGAGTTAATCCAACCGATCGCTTTTTGCACGCAAAATATTCATGTACATGCTTTTTTCATCATAAAATAGAATTACTTTATTTTTTCGTTAACGTAATATGCTTCCTATGCGATGTTATCGCTTTCTATGGGATGGTTGAGGAAATCAAAGACACTAGGCTAATCAGAAGTTAGTTAGATGAAGCCCAACAGGTTGGGAAAACGGTAGAAAGCTGAAAAAATAGAACATGAGTGTACAACCATAGTTTATATTACACAGACCACGACGACAACAAAAACAAATTCGGGGGTCGAAAGGAATAATTTTGGGAAAAAATTAATGTGGAAGAAAATTCTCATAAACTTTGACGCTCGGCGATCAGCCTAGAAGAGATTCTTCAATTAGCTTCTTAAAATTTTGCAGTGTGCCTATATTAATTCACTACGAATTCTTCTTCCCTGTCTTTACCTGTGATGTGTCCACACCAGATTTTTCACTGACAGCCTTGCTCACTTTTAAAACCTCGTCGGAGGCACTTGACAAGACTTCTGCTGCTAATTCACTCAACCCAGTGTAAAACAGGGGCGCCTCTTTCAGAGGCTTCCCATCCCACCCTTCCCATTGAGCAAACATGATTGAAGGATGGGCATACGCGTTAGGACTCATAAGAGTCATCCCAATAAGGTGCCCGGAGACCTTCAAACGAGGGTGGTCGCCAATCAGACTCTGTAGGGTAGCAACAGGGTCTTTTTTTGGTGCTGCATCTCTTCCAGCCTAACGAAAAATTATAATAAAAAACAGTTTTTAGAGCACGCTCATTTGGGATGCCTTTCGAGCCCAATTACTTTGTGCTTCTGTAATTCCAGTTCTTGGTAGATTATCTGGGAGAGATAATCTCGCTAAGCACAAAGAACGCGGCCATGCTGATACCAGTCTCAGGTCCGTAAACCGCAATTGTTACGGATTCGAGTGACCCTCTGGAGGTTAGAGAAGTCACGTGTTATATCACTGCATTATGATTAATTAGTAATTAGGGGTAATGTACAATGGTGAGAGCATCTAGCAAGCACCTGATACTCTGTTGACAGTCGACTCGAAAAATCCTAACAATGCAAACTACATGGACATATCCGTTCTCGAATGAGTGCGGCCATTCAAACAGGTTTCGAGTTCCGTTGAAATATTTGCATTCTTCTGTTATTCGGTTCACCAAGTTTATTGTCCTTGAGACCGTTTTAGAAGCCTCTCATGCACATGAGCTGTAGTATTTTTGGAATATTCCAACGAACGCACTCGGCGTTCAAAAGAAGGTACATGGGTTAGAGGACGGAGAGGTCTGGCGCGAAGCTGACGGAATTCGAACTGGAGAAATCAGACTTTCAGTCCCTTATGCCTCCGTGGCAGCGACGTGCATCGTGCGTTTTAAATGATTCTGCTTACCTGCATAGCTCCTACCATTGAATCCTTAGTCCCTAGTACATCACATTTCCTGCCAAATTCACCCAGGCGACACGCCCAAGGCAGCGACTCAAAATTCATCACCGTACACATGTTCGCTTTCTCTCCCAGGATTCCCCGAACCTGGAATTCTAGTCCCGAGGCCCCAGGCAGACCAACAATTATCACACCCGGCTCGATATACGGCTTTAAAGCCTCCAGAAACACCCGATGAGCAAATGCTGGCAGCACTAAAGTTATAATGTCAACACCACGTACAGCTTCCTCTGGATTTTTAGTAATCAAAGCCGGCTTGGATCTGATGATGCTCGGTTCTTGGTCGCGCCGGTGGCAGGTGATCTCCAGGTCAGCGGTCTGCATGATTTTGCTCCACCGTTCAGCCTCGTCTTGATACAAACTGAGCACTCTGACCTCAGTTCCCCCATGTGATGAGGCGATACCCGCGAAGGCATGGGCTCCATTGCCGCTTCCGCAGATCAGAAGTTTAATACTGTCTGTCATAACTTCTTTTCTGGAAAACTGATTAAATTATAGATTTAACTTTGTGTTCACAACATCAAAGCCGTGAAGATTTTCAACAAATGGTAAATAGTTCAACTGCGGCAGGTTACAGTCGGCCGTCTAACCTAAATGGGTGAGGGCAAGCATGTTGTGCTGACAATAAAAGAGCTCCGAGCATAACTTTTTGCCAAAGTGTGGAGACAGTTATTTTGAAATCTTTCATTGACATTTTTCTCAGAATTTTCTTCCATAGAGGAAAATTCTAATAAACAGTCGAAGTCTTTGAGCATTACCGATGTAAATATCACGCTGTGTGATTTCGTGACATTTCACGTTTCCTTTTTATTTCCCATATCGACAGCCATGTATACAAATTATTGGATATATAGCTGTATCAGTGCTAGAGAAAATAGTGCAGCTACTGATATATAAATTAGCCTGTAGGAAATACAAAATCTAAGTATGTACGTCTTTTCCCACTCTAAGAATATTTCATAGACCAGTTTTGCTCTGGTCCATTGCGGATTGTGACGTTTACATATGTAAATTTAATTTGATCTTCTATAACTCAGAGATGTATGCAAATAAGCCGATCCGCGTTTGTGTTTTGCCCTATTCGTCGATCCGAAGTATTTGTAGTTTAATTTTCTTCAGATCTGGACGCGGGTATTTCAATATGAATAATTTTACGTGAAAAGAATTTACTTCAGCAGCAGTGTGGACGTATCTGCTTTGCCCTTTATTTACCCTATTAGGATTTTACTGCAAGTTGCGTTACAGCATAGCATACTTAATTGCTGAGCCGTCGTGTTCAAGTCGGGAAAGTTTTTTTCCATTTCTCTTAATATTAGAACTTCACTACGAATTTAGGAGCTAAACACGAAGTCGAAAAAAAACTACAATTTATCGCCTAAGGCCAACAGAAGTCTGCCTAAGATGGATATGAAATAGAAAATTTGAAACCGTAACACAATCAGGAATTAAATTTGAACTGATCCGCTGATTTTTTAAAACATCTTCAAATCATTGGTTCCTCTAGGACTAGACTCGCCAATCTGAAAACCTGCCGACCTTCCTCCAGTCTACCAACTAGATAGACGAATCCGAATAAGGTAATAACGACGGTGTTCTCTTTTCCTGCTAAAGGATGAACGAAGGATCTCCATCAGAACGTACACTTAGAAATACGTCTCCTGTCAGACTTACTTACCTCAGGATCAAATTGCCTTGTACAGCAACAGCTGAAAGTCGCAGAGAACCGTTTAACTTCTCATGAAATTACCTTGACCGAGTATACACGAACTAAAAATGATGTCGAGGGGTCTCACGGGATATCGTGTATACAAATGGTAAAGTCACGACATAATGAACAGTTAGTCACGCCATGATGCACCGTCAGTCACGCCAGCTTTAAAGATATCAATAGGATTCGGAGTACTGTCTATAAAGGTCTTCGAAAGCAATTTCCAGTTTTGGAGTAGCCCTCTCAGTATCCCGAACTGCACTCAACAATTCTTGTGGACATTGCAGTTCAACGTAGCACTGCCTGATCTTGTAAATTTCATGTCAATAGCATCTTCTTTCGAAACACAATCACCTCCCCGTGAAGGTCTCGGTGCGGCCGCGAAGAAAAACTCTTCCGCGGTCAAATATGCAATCAAAAGTTATTTTTTTTTCCGAGACGCAATGATGTTGCAGCGCAAGACTTAACCATCGCAAAAAAAAATACCGCCTTGTCGTGGTTTAATTGGTACTTGCGTGGACTTGAAAAAAACAAAATGCCATCAACTCGTCACAACTGCTCCGAAAAAGGTCTATTGTTATTCTATGATAAATTGGTTTAATCAACTGAGTTGATAAACTTTACAATCTCTTTAGGGCGGTCAAGTTACGCTATCAACTCATTGCATAAACCAAAACATCTTGTAATAACTCCTCCACCACCGACGAAACTCCACCGTTTCATTCGAAACTTATCCCCCTTGCATATTCCATTTCCCACCTTTAAACGTTGATCTACCAAACAGAATCTAAGGTTTACTCTCATGCTTGTATTATCAATAGTGAAAACAAAAATAGGATGAACTTCGTAACGACTTTTATCAAAATATTTGTATCCCTAACAACACAAAAGAACTCGCTCTATTAAAATAACCTTTTCACGTATCTCTTAATCTCATTTATTGAAGAGTCGCTTCTCACAAAGATCAAATTATTGCACTGATTTATCCATATGTACAACACAGATTTGGAATCTGAAGAGTGCGAATGAAAATAATAATTAAAAAACACATGTACACGTAACTGCATTGACAAAGTAATTATTTACAGCTTGGCCCAAATTTATTAAACAGTTCTTTGGGGAAAAACAAGCCAATAAAAGCTTGCGTATTGACCACGACACAGGAATATTACGTCATCTCTCGTTTTCTTTGCTCTTTTTCTTAAAGTTTTCCACCATACGGTCATAGTAGTCGCGTGACAACCAAAAGCACTGCTGGGGGTCCACGTGACTTGAACTTTAAAATATGAGAGGAGAAATAGATTAGTGTAAACTATTAACCAAGAGAAACAAGTCAAATTTGTAAGATTTTGGATTGGAGGGAATTCAAGAAACATACCTTTTCCCATTGCAGAACTTAATTACCAGCCTACGGCCATTTGTACCAGCGATCCAACCAGGTAAGTAGACAAACAGAGCTGAAAAGGAGCATATGACAAAGAGAATTCACGCAACTTTTACAGCAGAAGGTAAAGCAAAACTGGCCAAGGACAGTTTCATCTCGCATTTTTAACAGATAAATTTTTAAGTGAATCGGGAATAGGCCATTCCGAAGCGGGCTTTTTTTAACGTCACGCAACGCACTAAAGGCTGCGACGGAGACACGGCTTAGAGATAGAAAACGACCAGATTTTGTGGGATATGTACATGTGCGCACATGATAGCGCCGTCACAACTTCGCAAGCGATCTCGGGATTACAACCTTGGCTTTTACTTTTCTCTTTCAATCCCTTCTATTCACGTCTCCACATGAGGGAATTACTAGGGCTCATCTATAAAGGCAACTAGCTAGACTGTCTATATCCAAGTATGCTAAAAACTTCTGAGGTTATTTCTGCTAAGAAAAGTTCACTTAAAATTTACACACCTGGATCTGAGAGTGCGAGTACACGATCACCTATGTTAAGCGGGCGGCGTTTCGTGTGGGCTCCAAAAATGTAACCAGAACTCTGAAGAGTAAACCGCAAAAAAAAACGTCATAAATTTTTTGTCACAAATAGAAGAATGATTCAAATTAATTTCTCACTTTATTTCTCAGTGAAAACGAGATAACACGGATACTGGCCTATTTCATGCTCTATGTCCTAAGTAAGATTGATTCTACCAGCTGAAAAGAAACAGTTGATAGTTTCTGGTCAGATTAGCAAAATTTATATGATGTATTCAGACAAGCTCTCGCGCTTATTGCCTTGGAGAGTGTCTGGTAATATATCAAAATAAAAATTAGAATTCCAAAATTGTTATCTTAACAAAAAGATGAAAATAGAGTTGTCTAGAGGGAGACAGAAAAAGAAATACATCGATAAACAATGGCTTGGGAAAAATAAATGGGAAAAGGTTTATGTCAAAAGACGTGGAAGCAAATGACACAGTGAAGTGCTCGTTGGAAAATCGTCCACATAATATATTCTCAGGCATTCCGCCATTCAAGCTGTGAACTGTGATTGTTAGTACCTGTAACTGAACTGTTTGATCAGCCCACTCGATGATGTACTGGCGGCCATTGCCAACACGTTCACGCACAGTCCCTGAAAGATAAAAGACAATGATGCAATAATTAATGAGGATCCACTTAACTGAAGCAAAGTGAAAGAACTAGTTCCTTCCTGCCGATGACACAAAGTTTAAAATGTAGTTCTTTGGAGACATTACTTACCCAGATGGAACATTCCATCCTGGTCGTTCCTTGCCACCACAGCCTGGCCGACCAAACTTTCTTCACACTGCAGGATGTACCCACAATCGCTCTCAAACTTCTCTGGAGTGAGAAGATACGTGTCCTCGCGTGGGACAACGCTTTCTATACCATCATAATGCCGTACGCATAACCCATACTCGTCCTTTTGCAAAACAGTGCCTGGGGAAGAAACAAACGAGCTTAAATAGAATGCCCGCCGCTGAGCACTGTTTCAGAGCGACTATCCACACTGAGGTGATAACCATGGACCATAAACAATCAGATCATGGTTCATGGACCTACGACCATAACTCATGGACTATCATCCACGGACCACGTACCCAGAACCAAAGACTGGCTATCTACCCTGCACTTCTGAGAACAACTTCACCGCTGCCCTTACCTGGCGCGTAACTGTAAGGAAATGAAGGATGGAGGGCAACTACAGGATCATGTATATCAATTTCGTTATCAGCATCATCAGCTTCTGAAATGATGTCTGGACGGTAAATCTGTTCCAAGTCTCCCACGCTGTCTTCTACATAGTAACTACCGTCTCCACAATCTTGGCGAATGGTGCCTAACGAGAAAGGAGGACAATCATACGATCATCAAACCCGAACAAATAATACAGCGCCAACTGCTCGCTTCAACGAAAGTTTGTGCGTTTGTACGTCTTTCTGCTTCTTTACGTCTGTCTATGTTATTGCCAGCCTGACTGTTTGGTCTATAAATGTTTTTGCCTGGAGAAAAAGTGGCAAGTGCCGTTTGTTTATCTTGTGTCTGTTACATTGGTAATCAGTAAGTAGGAGAAAAGAAACATAAAGTGATCATTGAAAGGCACTAAAATAGTTCTATAACAGGCAAAGTGCTCATTCATTCAAGTACCGATGGCAGCGAGTCGGCACGATGACCAGGGAAGATTTTAGGCATATACTAAAACGCGCGAAAAAAAAAAGGGTCAGGGTTACGGTCCATCTGCCGCCCTCGCCTCCCTTAATTGCTTTACAGCTTAAATGGCTGACGCATACAAGTTTCAAAGGCTATTTAATTTCTGAATCTCTGAAGGCATTCTCATCGCAATTTGCGTTTTATAGAAGCAAAGATCAGTTGTCAATTACAGCATTGTCCAAAAATATCAAGAAAGGTTCTTACTAAACCGCACCCAACATAAGCGCCAACGACAAGATTCATACGAAGATACGAACAAACAGGCTTGCAAAAAGAACGGACAGGCTTAACAGAGTAATGTAAATGCATCTCGTGTTACCTCTGTAGTACCACCCTTCGTCAGACCAGCGTGCTAATACTTCTTCTCCCACTTGGACGGGTCTTCGAACACGTCCAGTTTCAACCGCGGGATCCTCGTCCGGAGGAAGGCGAGCTAACAAAAGGGTAAAAAAAGTTCTGATAAGAGATTCGGTACACAAATTAACCTATATACGATCAAAGATGAAATTATGTGTTCTTTTCCTTCGTTGGAGAAAAAAAAAAAAGAAAAACGAAAAAAATAAATAAATAAAACAAAAGAACAATATAAGAAATAGAAAATATAAGAAATAAATCCTTACATATCAAGAGTCCATGAGATCCTTTTGTCATCAGACATGCTTCGTTGCCATTGGATACGTGAATCTGGACTGAAGGAGGCTCTGATTCACTGCCAGCAGGGAGAGGAGCTGGTTCGGCCTCTTGCTCATCATCTGATACAGGTGGTGACGAGGAAGAGGATGAAGACGAGGATAAAGAGGACGAAGATGACGAAGATTTTCGTTTCTCGCTGCTGTTGGATTTCTTGTCGCCTTCTTTACTTTCTTCTTTATCTTCATCACGGTCGTCTTCTGTTCCTGGAGGAAGACTATGACTCGAAGACCTCCTTGAGGACTGAGGCCGAGGCGAGGCGACGGGTGAACGTGGAGAAGACGACTTCGTGGACTTTTTACCTGAACTGCGAGAGCGCGAGCCTTTAGATGAAGCCTTGCCTGACTCTTTGGTTGATCCTCTAGGAGTGGAGCGTGGGGATGAGTGAGCCGATGATGGACTAGGCGGAGAAATAGAGCGAGACCTGGGAGGAGAGACTGGTGGTATGTCGGGAAGTTTCACCCGGGGTCGCTCGGACCGAGTTTCAGATGGAAGATTGTTTGCTAGTTGTTGTAGGAGTTGCTGTTGCTGTAGTTGAAGTTGCTGTGTCTGGTTGAATTGTTGCATGAGTAATTGTTCTTGCTGGTCTTTTTGCTTCTTTAAAAGGTCATTCTGTTGATTTTGAAGTCGCTTTTGTTCCTCTTGGATCTCTTTTTGTCTGTTCAAAATTCAATTTGAAATTCACCATTATGAATATGCCAATTAGCCTTTGTTTTTTTTTTTTAAATTCATGCTATCAAGGGCAACTTAATCCCTGTAAGAGGAGGGTGGACGGGAAGGAGTTGAGTTTAGTATTGAAAAACAAAACGACAAAACTAAATAAAGGCAAAACCTGGAATGAAACATGTTTTCGATTTGCATCAGGATACTCAAGTTATCAGTGCTATCAGTATAACTGGAAATTCAAAGCAAACACAAGTTTATCATTTATGAATTTCTTAGTGACAAAAGGAGAAACTTGAGAAAAACATGCAACAAGAAACATGCGGCCAACAAAGTTGTGTTAC